GATGAATCAAGATCTATAAATTTAAATCCCTCAAAAAGTTTTTAAAACTAGAACGTTTCCCAACAGTTTCAGTCTCAAGCCAAAATTTCCCCAAACAAAGGCCTAACGTACTCTCATTGTATCTGTATCCCAATAGAACATTTGATTAGTCTACTTTTTCATATACCGCTCAAAGAAACAGAGTACAACATCAAACAAAAATTTTTTCCCAACATTTTGAGGAGCTATATGAATCTTCTGTTTACATTCGACTCTAAAGCCAAGGCGTGAATAGAAAAGAAGTATTGACAGCATAACAAATTTAATTTCCACACACACACACACACACACACATATATATATATTATTTTGATGCTATAAACATACCCGGATTTAAGTTGTTCAATGTTCAGTGGTTATTCAAATCCAATAACCATGTATTGTGGACCTTAAACACACTCTTTTATCCACCACATTTTTTAAAGATGTGAAAGGAAAAGAATATGTTGATAACTAAACATCCGAATATGACAAGCCTTGCATATATACTACAAATATTGCAACTATTTTTCATTCAATTTGTCATATATAAATTAGTGGAGTTTCTATTGGCCCAAGGTGTGTGTTCAAAAAGGAGAAAAAGAAAAGCAGCAGATGCTAGGAAAGATGTTTATGCATTTCTTCAACATAATAAACTCTTTCTTGTACTTCTCCATCATTGTAGTCTGCTCAAGCAATGATGCAACAGCCACCACCGCGACGATTGCCATCACAAAACCTCGTAGGTTGGTCACTAAACTCATTCACCGTGATTCGATTAACTCACCATATTATAACCCTGGTGCCACCCCTTGGATCGTGCTAGGTGGGCTACAGAAAGCTCACTAGCACGCTTTGCTTACCTAAAGGCAAGGATAGAAAGCGGATTAAACACCACTAATGATGTCCAAGGTGGTGTTATCCCGATTGATACTGGCATAGAATTCCTTCTAAAATTTTCTATTGGAGAGCCACCAGTTCCACAACTAGCGATAATGGACACCGGCAGCCCCATTTTTGATCCTTCAAAGTCATCCACGTATGTAGACATACCGTGCAATTCTCCTACTTGTAATCACCTCAAGTTTCATGGTCAAATAGAATTTCGATGTGATAGTTTCTCTCGTTGCGGTTATAGCCTGCAATACATGGACAAAATTACAACAGCAGGAAATGTTGCCTTTGAAAAGCTAACATTCATGACATCTGATGAAGGCACAATAAGTGTCCCCAGCATGGTGTTTCGCTGTGGACACAATATTAATGACTTCATAGCCAGCAAAATAACTGGAGTTACGGGACTTGCCTATCATAGTACATCTTTGCCTTTTCAATTGGGCTCTAAATTTTCTTATTGCATTAGCAATATAAACGATCCTTACTATAATCATAACCAGTTAATCATTGGAGATGGAGCATATATTGAAGGCTATTCAACACCAATTGCAGTGCGTGACAACCTATACCATTTGACCATGGAAGGCATGAGCGTGGGAGAGAAAAGGCTTGACATCAACAGAGATCTATTCGGCAAAGATAGGGTTGTGATCGACTCTGGTACAACGGATACTCTTCTAACAAGGAGTGGGTTCGAGCCACTTAAAGCCGAGGTGCAATCCTTGATAGGTGGATTGCTGACACAGGAGGTTGATAGCAAGAACCCCGGTTACCTATGTTACAGGGGGGTTGTGGATGAAGAGCTTAAAGGATTCCCAGTGGTGACATTTCATTTTGCTGGAGGGGCGGACTTAGTGCTAGACATAGACAACATGTTCCGACAGACTGACACTAATATGTTTTGCATGGCCATGGTTGAAAGTCGATTACCCAATCAGTTGAGCATACTTGGGATTATCAACAGAATTACAACATTGGTTACGACCTAAACAAAATGAAACTCTATTTCCAGATAATTGATTGTGAACTTCTTGAGGATTGATCACAACTCTTACAAATATATATTTGTCTTGAGGACAATAAAATTAGTGTGTTTAGTGAGTTTTATGTGTATTCATGTATAAGTTGCTCTAGAACTATAAATTATTTCTGAAGGGCTCAAATATATATATATATATATAAGAATTAAGATTGTGTCCGTTTTTTATTTTAAACTAACACTTTAACAATAAGGACATTGTCATTCTACAATAACTAAACAATAATAATTTAAAATTTTATGTTAATTTCACATTAAAGGAGTTCCTCCCACCACTCTGAAATTTTTATCTTTCTTGGGAATAATTCAATAGATAAAACTACGTAAATTTAACAAGCAATTTATTAAGCACATAGAAAGAAACTCATGGTTTAGATATCTTACACTGAAATGATTGAACAAGGCCCTGATGCAGGCTCGAAATATCACTCCACCGGAATTTGATGGCCTTCACAATCCAAATGCGGAAGAAAATTCACAAATATCTATCTGTGATGATGAATCAGGGAATGTTAAGTTTTGAGAAAGAACAGAAAAAAATGAGAGTATAATTTACTATCATGCCTTAATGTTAAGTTGGAATACAAATCAAGAGTGGATCTAGAGGTGAGCTCTAGTAGGCTTGAGCCTACCCATCAGAAAAAAAATTCTTATTAATATAGGCAATTTTAGCACAGCCCAAAAAAAATACAAAATTTATTACTAGTATTACCTTACCCAAATATTAGTCTACCCAACCAAGCTCAAGTCAGCTAAATTTATGATCAATATTAGCTCACCCCATTGACAATTGCTGGGCTCGCCCTTATTCAAATGTCTTATAAAGTTTAAAGTTCAACTTTCACTTAAAGCTGTTTTTTTCTCTTCCTCTTCCTCTTCCTCCTCCTTTTTTTTTTTTTTTTTTTTTGTTTTTACTTCGTAAAAGGGTAAGTTTATAAACAAAAGAAAAAAAATGTATAAGGGCTCTCTTGGAGACAAACAAGGCCCATGGGCCATCAAAAGATAAGAGAGCAAACAAAGCCCAAAATAAACTAGACATGGCCTAATTGGGCTCAAGTCAAGAAAATTCATCAAAATACAAAATCAAAATAGCAGCAAAAGCAAAGCCAAATCTTGCTATCATTTCTTTTCAAATCTTCCCACCTTTATTAGGATAGAAAAGCTATTTCTCTAAATCTCTCCAAATCATTTCTTTTCTTTTTCTTTCAATACCATAAATCCAAACGACGCCTAAGCTATGCAGACTAACTCTAAAAGCTTAGATGATTGAATATAATATTTTTTTGATAAGTGTAGATGATTGCATATACTATTATATTTTATATGCACATATGCAAAACCTATTTAATAAAATTCCTAGTTAATAAACTCAATCAAAGGGTAAGTCTAACCCTGGTATAAAAGTCGGTTTAAAAGCACTCTTAATTTATTTATTATTTTTTAAAAAATTGCTTTTTACGTATTTTAGTAACAAAAAGGAACACTTTTAACTGATAAATATTTCAGCTCAAGAAAACTTTTGGATTAATTTAAAACTACGTGTCAAGTATAAGTTCTATTTTTCAGGTAATAATTTTTCCTTCCAAAATTTTGTCCTTTATTATTTTCAATAAAGACAAATTTATCCTTATTATATAAGCTACTACTTATCAAATATAGCAATATCCCATTCAAGGGTACTATTGTAAATTAGCAATAAAAATACTTAAAAAAATGTTGTCGCGTTTAGCTTTGAAGTTTCATCACCTTGAACTTGCCGGTTAGGGCCCAGAAATAATTTTCCATATTACACAGATTAATGCTAGAGCCAGTGCAATATTTGTAATTATCAGAAATTGGAGCTAGTCACGGTGATCAAAAAGAAATTATGTACGGGTGATTAGGAGCTTCAAAAGTCGTTAGATCTATTTTTATTTTTTATTTTTATTTGTTTTTGGACCTATTTTATTTACTAATTAAGGGTAGAGCAATTAGAGAAAATAATTCAATCATTAACAACCAATATGAAAAGTCCATTCTTCATCACTCATTTTCTTCGAATACCTTGTGAAATCAGAGTCCTGGATGATTTTGATTGCTCTTAGGCTTTATTTTACACGTACATAAATCAGTATGTATATATTCTACACACATGCGCTATTACAATTCAGCAAACACAACCACCAAAAATAGAAAGACGATACCGTTTGCTTACTTTTTTTCTCTTTTTTAGCATGTACTTTTCGCTTGCTAGCTGTTTATATATACAAAAAAAAAAAAGCACGCATTAATACAATTTATGTAACACCAAAGATATCCTAGCAGACTATATTGATTTGATGTTTACATTCAAATATAAAGAATTGGAGAGGAAGCTGATGGATCATATTAATTGGTCCTGCACTCCTCTAGTCCTCAATGATGATCACCTGAAATTAATTAATTTAAGGAGTCTGAAAGTTGTGTGGTTCACATCAATTATTCATGTGGGCCAATTTCGTTGAAGAAAACTAGGAGTGGGTGAGGTCCATTAAAATTTATGAACCTCACCTCCAAGTAAATTATTTTTGAAATTCAACACAATCAATTTCTTCCTTTATATACAGAAAACTCGAGGTACTATAATATATACATACATTTTCTATATATATATATATATATATTTTTAATTAAAGCTATATAAAACATACCCGGATTTAAGTTGTTCAATGTTTGGTGGTTATTCCAATCCAATAACCATGTACTGTGGACCTTGATCATGCACTTTGATCTCTCACATATTTTAAAGATGTGATACTCTTCAACATTTCAGCAAAAATTGTGCTGGCATTGGAATAAGCAGAATGTGGGTCAATATTTAAATGATACAATGTCAAGAAGGAAAAAGATTGTGACAGAGATTCAACAGATATTGTAGGTAAGGGAAAATAATGTGTTGATAACTAAAACATCTGTATATGACAAGCCCTGCATATATACCACAAAGATGAGAAGGTATCTGAAATCAAAGAAAAGGTCGACTTTTGAGCAACAATTTATTTTGATCACCCATCGTGTCAATACATACATGCGTATAGATAGTGAAGGGGTTTCTATTAGAGCCAAGGTGGGTGTTCTAAAAGGGGGAAAAGCAGCAGCAGCAGCAAGGAGATTATCAAGAAATCAATGTGCATTAGTGTTAACTATGAATAATTTAGTTGGAAAGATGTTTATGCATTTCTTCGTCATAATAAACTCTTTCTTGTACTCCTCCATCATAGTCTCCTCAAGCAATGATGCAGCCACCACCAAAGCCACGATCGCCATCACAAAACCTCCTAGGGTGGTCACTAAACTCATTCACCGTGATTCAATTCACCCCCCATATTATAAACCTGGTGCCACCACCTCGGAACGTGCTAGGTGGGCTACAGAAAGCTCGATGGCACGCTTTACTTACCTAAAGGCAAGGATGGAAAGCACTTTAAGCACCACTAATGATGTCCGAGGTGGTGTTATTCCAATTGATGATACTGGCATTGGATTCCTTGTAAAATTCTCCATTGGAGAGCTACCAGTTCCACAACTTGCGGTAATGGACACCGGCAGCAGCCTGTCATGGGTTCAATGCCTCCCATGCACCAAATGTTTCAAACAGTTAAACCCCATTTTTGATCCTTCAAAGTCATCCACGTTTGTTGACTTACCATGCAATTCTCCTTTTGTGGTATATATGTAGGCACATTTCAATTTGAGGAGTTTCAATCTCGTTGCACTTATCGCCTGGTATACTTGGACAACGATACCACAGAAGGTAACGTTGCCTTTGAAAAGCTTACATTCATGACATCTGATGAAGGCACAACAAGTGTTCCCAGCATCTTGTTTGGCTGCGGACACTCAAATAATTTCATAGCCGGCAAATTAAGTGGAGTTATGGGACTCGGCTATCATACTACATCTTTGCCTTCTCGATTGGGTTCTAAATTCTCTTATTGCACTGGCAATGTAAACTATCCTTAGTATAATCATAACCTGTTAATTATTGGGGTTGGAGCTTATACTGAAGGCTATTCACCAATTGCAGTGCATAAGGACATATACTTTTTGAGCTTAGAAGGCATAAGCGTGGGAGACAAAAGGCTTGACATCAACAGAGATCTATTTGGCAAAGATAGGGTTGTGATCGACTCAGGTTCAACGGATACTCTTTGACGAGGCCCGCTTGATATACGCCAAAATAATATAGTGAATGTGCGGTTCAAGAAAAGCCTTTTGGGTTAAGTTTAAATTTATAAAAACCACTACCAACACTACTACTAAAGTAGCAAGAGTGAGTAGGGATCGTTCCAATAAGAGATTATATGTGTTGGAATTTAACTTTGACTCTAATGTATCACAAGATTGCATAGAGATTTAATGAGGTGATTAAACTACTTCAATTAATGAAAATGCAATTAAAATAAAACTAAATTGAGATAGGGATTTAAGAGATATGAAGAGAGGTCTTAGGGTGTTGAAATCACCGCTAATCTCATGTAATTAACCACTTACTTTCCATTAATGGGGAATACATTGTTGTGAACAAAATGCGACTACCAATTGCAATATTAAGTATGGACCATCTAATTTATGTATGAATTGTCTACCTAAACTAAGTATAGCACAACCCATCAATTTTAAGTATGACCTATCTAAGTAGCAACAATTGCAATCTAGAGAATCATGGAATTTGCAATAATGCCAGGGAATATCTAAGCAAGCATAGATTGTCTACCTACCTACAAGCATGAATTAAATTGTAGAACAACCCATCAAGCATAAGTATAATCCATCAAATTAATTGACAAATTCATCTAATAAAACCCATGTCTAACCATCACTAAATCTTTAATTAATCACACATAGACATGCAACCAATATAGAGAATCTAGTGTAGAGATCAATTCCCCAAATAATCACACATAAGACAACATGTAATTAAAATAGATAATTATAAGGAAAAATTAAACCATATGAATCATGTAAGAAATAATTCATAATTTAATCACACATAGACATGTAAATAAACTAGAGAATTAATAGGAAAAATTAAACTATATAAATCATAGAAATATACCAAGATTCATTAAATTCACAAGGATAGAACACTAATCACAACAATATATATAAATCCCAAAAAATATAAATACAAGGGTTTAGATTACACAAGACTTAGGGCTCATCCAAACCCTAAGTGTAGATCTAGCCAATCATGGAGGAGGTAGATGTGGTCATGGAACCCTTAAGGGTAAGCTCCAAACATGGCTCCATCTTCTTCTTCTTCTTCTTCTTCTTTGAAGCTCTAGAGATGGAGAGAGAGTGTGGTCTAGAGATGGATCTTGAGATGTGCATCCACTTCCCTCTTTTCTTCTAACCCTAATCTCTAACTTTACTAGAGAGAGAAATAAAAAATACAATGTAAAAATAAAAAGATAAAATGCTTCTTTACAAAATGGGTCACTTCCCTTTATATAGAAGGTCCTTTTCTTAGTCACTAAGTCAGGAATATAGTTATAAAAATATCTAATTCCGTACTATGTGATAGGTGGACCTTTGGGCGCGCACGGGAATAAAACAGCTCGCTGCCAACAAAAGTTCGATCGATCCAACTTTGATTTTCGATCGATCCAACTTTGATCGATCTCACTTTCTGCGATCGATCTCATGATCGATCTCACTTGGCAGCTTTTCAAGATCAGCCTCTTTTTTGCTCCAAATCAGCCTCCTTTTGCTCCGGATCCTCACCAAGACTTAGTTTGACTCCAAAAAGGCCTTAAGAAACCATTTTTAGCCCATTTTAACATTATTGACCTGATATAGACAAAAACACAAATAAGTACTAAAATGGGAAAATAAGATAGATAAAGGTCCTAGAACACTCAAGCTTAAGGTGCACTTTTCAGCGCTCATCATACCCCCAAACTTAAATATTGCTAGTCCCTAGCAATGAACTATGAAGTAAAGAAATGAAATGAACAACTAGACAACTATAACTAGAAAGCAATAAAAGGATAACGCCACTTTCGTAGGGAACACGATTGCACTTAGCACATGCAACAAGCCTTTTAAACCCCTATGTTACCCCTATTGGATGAGTGAAGTCTCTTGAGGGTTTCCAGAAATGATACCCACAAACATTAAGCTCATTCTCACAAAAGAGACACCAATATTGCAAACAAGTATTGGGAGAAAACTACCTCAAGTATGCAATTTTTCAAACATTTCTAAGCAATCTCCCAAAATCTCAACATCAAGCAAGCAAGTATGGTCCTCCACACATCAAGAAAATGATCATGCAAATCAAAACAACTCTAGAATTCTTTTTGAGTGGACTGGCATCAAATATGTTGCTATCTTAGCCAACTAAAGAATTAATCACATCCTTACCCTCAAACTAGCACACAAATCTAGTACCGATCATCAAGACAAAAAGTGGACCTTTTATTAAAGTTTTATTATTCTAGGTGCGCTTATTCTTTTCACTCGAATTTTTTTTTTTTTTTTTTAAGGATCAAAGATGGAAGCATTGTGCAATGTGTTGATCTATTGAGCTTTCTAGCGATCCATGAGGTCGAGCGTTAGGTCAATGACTCCTAAACCAGACAACTTTAGGGCATTAGGCGTTCAAACACCCCTACGGACTTACAAGCTCAAATTAACTAGGCTACAAATCAAGACAACCTCCATCTAATCATTTCATACTTCTCACCATTTGGGAGAAGTCCTCACTTTTTTATTACTTTTGCAACTTTTCTTTTTCTTTTCTTTCTTTTTTTTTTTTTTTTTTTTTTTTTTTTTTTTTCAAGTTCAATTATTAACCTAGAGTTTGGGCCCTCCACTGTTCGGCGCGAGAAGTTTAGTGCTTGATGAGGCTAGAATCCCAACTACTTAGTGAACAGGGGTTGTTATCCACTTTTACCAAGAATGAAAGCTTTCAATACACTACTAGTCCAATTGGGATATGACCAATTCAATAATCAACAAAGCATGTACCCTACAAATGAATGCTAGTGTGCGCCTGTGCTAGTGTAGAATCCCAAAGTGAATATCAAAACAATCACAAAATCAAGATGATGTGGACCACAAGTGCAAGCAAGATATCAATTTTTTGAAAAATTTACTCTTAAATGGCATCCACAAGGCATACAAGGAGTATTAAACTCTCAAGTCATGCAATTTTTAAATTTTAAACAATATAGTCCTCAAAAGGTCAAAATCATCGTTAACATCAATCTCAATTCTCAATCATGCATTTAAAGTTCAACTTTAAGTAGAATGCAACAAAGACACCTTACCCCCAAACTTAAACCGCACATTGTCCTCAATGTGCAATGAGAACATTGGAAAAGATGGAAAGAGTATACCGTGGTGGCAAAGACATGAAGCCCGCCCGGTCGCGATCCAATTCGAAAGACGTTTCCCCCAAACCTAGAATCAACAACCTACTTGAATAACCACACTAGCAAACTCACATCAAATATCAAAAGGGATAAGAATAATCAAATCATGCAATCTAAGGTAATATAGCACAAGATGAAAGAAAGATATGAGATCAAGCCCTAACTAAACAATAAAAGTAGCATGACTACACATAAGGACACAATGGTGAAAAGTTTTTATATTTTTCTTTTTATGAAAGCAAATATATACAAAATGCAAGAAAAATAAGGAATAAAATGCACGAAGAAAATGCAAAAAGAAAAAATAAAAAAGGTCAAATGCAATGAAAGAATATGTACAATGCAAAAAATGAAAAAACAATATGTACAATGCAAGTATATACAAAATTTTCTTACTTTTTGTTTTTCATTCATTTCATATTTTTTTTAGGAAAAAGAAAAAGAAAAATAAAATAAAATAAAAATAGAAAAAGGAAAAAGTCAAAAAGTCAAAGGGACAAAGCTATGATCGATCTATGCTCGCACGATGGGATAGAGAGTATGAAATTTGCAATACTTTGAAAAATTTTCTAAGTATGGAATCTCGATCGATCCAATAATGAAGTTGGATCGATCGAAGAACTTTAAATCGATCTAGGAATGTTTTCGATCGATCTGACAGAGAGCTGAAATATGCAAGTTGATGCAGGCTCAAAATTTTTCTAAGTGTTGAAACTACAAATCGATCGAACTTGATGTTTAGATCGATCGAAGGTCTTCTGATCGATCTAACTAAGAACTGAGATCTGAAGATTTTCTTGGATCGATGAGACAGAGAGTGATTTGGATGCAGGTTTGCTGCAGGAATGAAGTTCGATCGATCTAACTCTCATTTGAGATCGATTGAACTTATGCAAAATGCTCAATTTTCAACATAAAAGTGCAGAAAACCCTATGCTAAGCCCCAATGATGGTAACAAAAATAGAGATTGAAAAATGGATGGAAGAATGTATACAAGAACCAGAAATAAAAATAAAAAGAAATGAGGGAGGAATAGAGTTTTGAAACTCTACGAATACTAGTGTTTAACGTCTCTAGCAAGACGTTGGGTCAACTCACTAATCAAAAGAATCAAAAACCGGATATGAAACATCCTTATTGATCTTCTTTTCACTTTTCTCATTTAATGTCCCACTTACAACAATAAAATCATCCTCCAAAAGAATGACTTGAAAAGAAATGAAAGAGATGATATTGTTCCTTTCATCCACAGTCTTGAAAACAAAATCAATCATGGTTGGCCTTGCCTCAATTTTATGCTCTTGAAGTGTATTAAAAGAATCACTTCCTTTGTGAATTGGCAGGTCAATGTCTTTCAAAGACTCATTTGGAATATCAAGGAACACCTACTCTTCATCATTTTTCTCCTCCTCAAAAATCGCCATCTCCTCACCTTCCAAATTAGCTAAGGAGTCCATTAGAGAGTTCACTTCATTTTTAGAGCTTTCAAAGTCAAAACCACAATTTTTATATATTTCAAAAAGACAAGTCTCAAGAGGGTCATTAGAGATAATAGAAGGAAGCCCCTCTTCAACAAGTTCCTCCTCTTTCTCTTCTACCTCAAGTGTGGTCAACGTCTCCTCACTCTCTAGAGTAGCAATGTCCGAGATAAAATCATAATCAAAATAAGTAAAGTCCTCATTAATCATGTTATGCTCTATTGGATTAGCTACTAACTCACTTGCCACTTCCTCCTCTATGCAAGATAGAGTGCTAGGCATTAGCTCACTTGTTTCATCCTCTTCACTCTCATCATCCTCATCTATATACATTGAAGTTCTTGCCATTTTTTTATTTGCCTCTTCCTCCTCCTCTTGACGAGAAAGAGTACTTACAATTTGCTCAACGTGAGCTTCAAGATTGGCTAAAGTTTGAGAATGAGAATTAATAAGTGGAGTTTGTGAAATATGCACATCAAGTAAAGCTAATACTTTTTCTTCAAATCCGGGTGAATACCTAGAAGGTGGTGGAGTTGGTTCTTCATAAAATGGTGGGGGAGGGTAATAGTCATAAGAAGGATTAAATGAGTGATCAAGTCCATAATAAGATGATGCATGAAATGAATTGGACTCAATCTCATAGGGATTAAAATATGATGGAGGAGCATAAGGTGAAGGGATATAATTTCCCCCAAAACTTGGATCAAACAATTCCTCCATTCACAATTAAAACCCAAATGCAACAAATAATGGCCTCAACAAGGGCTTATGCTTGGACAAAAATTTAAGCAATAAAATAAGTCTCAATAAGGGCTATCAGAAGCATGCAAAGAAGTGAAACAATTAAAATACAAGAGTTCCAAGAATTGCTCACAACGGTCCTTAAGCAACTTCAAATTTTAATATTACCTTAAGCTCCAATTATTGCTTTTAGTTCCAAAGTTTGCCTTCCTTGTAATCAAGTACCTAATTGAACAAATAATAATGAGAATAAGAGAAAAGAATATACAATGGAAAACAAATTAAAAATAAAGGCAACCAAATGAACACTATTGTCTAGTTTAATTCTAACAAAACCGTTAATCCCCGGCAACGGCGCCAAAATTTGACGAGGCAGCTTGAGATATGCCAAAATAATGTAGTGAATGTGCGGTTCAAGAAAAGCCTTTTGGGTTAAGTTTAAATTTATAAAAACCACTACCAACACTACTACTAAAATAGCAAGAGTGAGTAGGGATCGTCCCAATAAGGGATTATACGTGTTGGAATTTAACTTTGACTCTAATGTGTCACAAGATTGCAAAGAGATTTAATGAGGTGATTAAACTACTTCAATTAATGAAAATGCAATTAAAATAAAACTAAGTTGAGATAGGGATTTAAGAGATATGAAGAGAGGTCTTAGGGTGTTGGAATCACCACTAAGCTCATGTAAGTAACCACTTGTTTTCCATTAATGGGGAATACATTGTTGTGAACAAAATGCGACTACCAATTGCAATATTAAGCATTGACCATCTAATTTATGTATGAATTGTCTACCTAAACTAAGTGTAGCACAACCCATCAATTTTAAGCATGACCCATCTAAGTAGCAACAATTGCAATATAGAGAATCATGGAATTTGCAATAATAAGCCATGGAATATCTAAGCAAGCATAGATTGTCTACCTACCTACAAGCATGAATTAAATTTTAGAATAACCCATCAAGTATAAGTATAATCCATCAAATTAATTGACAAACCCATCTAATAAAACCCATGTCTAGCCATTACTAAATCTTTAATTAATCACACATAAACATGTAACCAATATAGAGAATCTAGTGTAGAGATCAATTCCCCAAATAATCACACATAAGATAACATGTAATTAAAATAGAGAATCATAAGGAAGAATTAAACTATATGAATCATGTAAGAAATAATTCATAATTTAATCACACATAGACATGTAAATAAACTAGAGAATTAATAGGAAAAATTAAACCATATAAATCATAGAAATATACCAAGATTCATTAAATTCACAAGGGCAGAACACTAATCACAACAATATATATAAATCCACAAAAATATAAATACAAGGATTTAAATTACACAAGACTTAGGGTTCATCCAAGCCCTAAGTGTAGATCTAGCCAATCATGGAGGAGGTAGATGTGGTCATGGAACCCTCAAGGGTAAGCTCCAAACATGGCTCCATCTTCTTCTTCTTCTTCTTCTTTGAAGCTCTAGAGATGGAGAGAGTGTGTGGTCTAGAGATGTATCTTGAGATGTGCCTCCACACTACAAGAAAAAAGGGCTTCTACGAGGGGCCAAAAACGCCGTGAAAAGTTATTCACGGCGCATTGTAGGCCATCGTGTATGAGGGATCCGTAAATACTTAAATTTATTTACAACATGGATATTTTCCCATTAATAATTAACTTACACGACATCGACGCATGCCGTAGAAAAGTTTTCTACGGCAAATTGTAACTGCCGTAGAAAAGTTTTTTACGGCGAATTTTAACTTCCTGTAAATAATCTACGACGCACCAAGGCATGCCGTAGAAAAGTTTTCTACGGCGAATTTTAACTACCCGTAAATAATCTACGAGACACCAAGGCATACCGTAGAAAAATTTTCTATGGCGAATTTTAACTACCCGTCAATAATATAAACCATTCTCATGAGGTGCCGTGTATGCCGTAGAAAAGTTATTTACGAGGATTTTCACTACGGCCTTTTATTTACGGGGTTTCAAGCTCCCCATAAATAAAAAATATATATATTTTTAATAAATAAAGCACCCTTAATGCTCGTTAATCAATCATACACAACCTGTAATTTAATTAATGCTAATCATCCACAATCTGTATTCACATCACTTTCAGCTATAACTCAATTTAAAAAACATATCTCATTAAATATATCAAAAGAGTTAAAACATTTTTACAATTCTTCATTTATCAATGTGGCAAAACAATTCAACATTTATCAATGTTCCAAAACATAAAGTAAATCCATTTGTGAAGAAAATCATCAATTTCCTAACACTTCTGTTGAAAAATTGATAAACCTTCTAACACTTGAGTTTCAGTCTGCACTTGTCAAAAAATCACTGCACTGTACAAAATCCAAGGAAGTAGCTGCAAAATCCATAGTACAAAATCCAAGGAAGTAGCTGCATCACACAAGTCTCAAATTCAGAATAAAACAAAGAAATTGAATCAACAAGCAATAATCCATAAACCATTATAGTGTTTAAGTAAGCTCTAAAGGGTACTGCACAATGGCAATGTTCAGCACAGTTTGAATGCATTCATGGGACGCACCAGTGGGGCATTAAAACCTTAGGTATTTACTAATAGCACTTAACCATGTTTGGGTCCTCAGGATTCAACATATTCAAATAAACAAAATAAAGTGTATAATGTGTAGATGCACAATTAGAGGGGATAAAAGAAGATCCGACATGTTTAAAAGCAAGCAGACATTTTTATATATTTGTATAATTTCAAGTACTGCAGCAGATCATCTGTATGTCTAGTAGAGAGAAGCAGCAATACCCTATCTCTCTGTCTAGAAACTTATCAAGGAATTGGTATCGCTAACCAAGTTAAAATTTTCTGGTACAGAATTGGTGCGTCATGTGAGGCTAACAAAGCACCAAAGGCCTACTGAGAAAAAGAGGCAGCAAATATATCTGTTGTATTTTTGAAGTCAAAGAAAGATACCTAGGCACAAAAAAATGATACTTATTCCATAAAATAATCAGCATAAGCAAGTGGAAACCTAATCAAAAGATCTAATTCAGGTACAATGCCAAAATAAGAACAGGTAAAGATAAAACTTCAAACAGCATCAGAAGTTCAGAACTCAAAGACGAGAAGTTTAAAGGGTGGAAAATGCACAAGAGAAAGGGAAATCTTAATAATTATTGCAAATTTTATACACATGCTTGCAAGTAAAAGTTGGAGAAAACTTACTTTCCAAAAGAAAAGAAAAGAAAAAAAAGGTTGAAGAAAACTTGTAGGTTCCATCAAGGGTATTTTCAAGAATGATCAGGTGCCTTCACACCATATCATCATACTTGCTTAACAGAAAAAAAATTATTTAAAAATAAAGAACAAATTAATTAGCCTTTATTTAATATTTCCTCTTGATTATTCTGAGATGGGGGTTCAGGGGATGGGCTAATACAACCAGAACAAGATCTTTTACTGTCAATTTTAATTCTGCCATTGCCCACTCATCCACTATCTTCTAGGGTCTTGGGGATTCCTCACCCTACCTCAAGTTACTTTTTATAAAAACATAAATTATTCAAGAGAAATTTGTCATGTAAGAAAATGTGCAAGACGGAAATAAATCACAACAAAAATAATAAACACAAAGCTTCATAAAAGAAGAGGGTTCTTTTTTCTTTTTCCATCTACATTCAGAAAAAGTAAAAAGAAAAAAAATGACAAACAAAGAGCATGATGTGAAAATATAGCCCAATTACACACTTCCATTGTAACGAGACGGATGTTTCATTACCCTTTATTCTTTTATACTTTGTTTGGTACGAAGGATGGAAAAATGGGTGGAAGGGAGGACGGGGAAAATGAATGAGACATCTCTAGGAAAGGAAATGTGGTGTCTCCTATTCCTTTCTTTCTTTCATTAAGAATAAGGATAAATGAACAAAAGAAAATTCAGCCAAAACAAAAGGTACTTCATGAAACATCTTCAGTGTCTTTTCAGATTCTGAATTGTTTCTCAGGAAACATATCAAATCAATTTATCATGAAATAAATGCAAACCACGCTATTAATTAATTAATTTAAACTACAGACCAGCAAAGCAAATATTGAGTCACATACACTTAACAGGATTTATTGAATATATATATATATATATATATATATATATATATATATATATATATTTGTCAATGTGTCAAGAATTACAGATAATTATTTGAATTATACATTATATTAAAGTGAAGAAGAATACTAAAAAAAAGGTCTTAAGTCTTAACCCACGATGGAAAACCATAACAATGACAATCTCTATCCAAAATATCATTCCATTAATCCTATTTGGTTGGTTAGGTGACAAAACCCACTCAATTCGATTACATAAGCATGTATCAGCATATGGATCTGCATCTATGCACATTAGGGAGATAGTTTGATTGCATTTTGGGTGGGTAGCTGGCCTTTACTTTCTTTCTTTTTTTTCCTTTCTTTTTTATCTCTTTAATTAAGATGGATAATGAATTCAAATTAGATTGTTATACCTGGGTTGCATATTAACACAGTAAGCTGTTTAACTATGCAAGTTTCTAGAATTTTCGAAAGGCTGCCTTTTGGATTTTATTATAACATAGGGAATGATTTCAATATATTTCATTTTGTACCCAAATACAATTTATCCAAGGCAAACTTAGTTACAGTTAGTTTCATATTAGATTTTTCATAGTGCTCTTTTTTATTCGTTTCCCAATCTAGTGCATAACTGTGCAATCAAAATTTTATACGTTGATAGGTCATTCTGATCCATGAAGACCAGATTTAGGTTCCTCGTGAATGGTGTGGGAATCAGCATCTGAGGGAGGATAAATGGACACCACATAAAAGCATAGAATCTTTGGCAAAATGGATCCCACATAAAAGTTATCTAAAAATTGAAACTTAGTACTTGAAAAAGTTAATCACAAAATTTAGAATTAATCATCATGCATATGGTAGACAATAGGTAGAAAAAAATATTTAAATTCTCTTTACTTAAAGTGTTCAATTCTGTATTACCAAGAATTAAAGAATTATACTTCAATAAAACATCCATACAAAGCATACACAAATGAATTACATACCAAAAATTTAAGTTCATTTATTGAATAAAGTTTTCATTGAATTGTCACTCAAAACTCACCCCTCAAGAAAAAAGTTTTATAGTTCCTTGAATCAGTGGAGAGAAATGGTTTTGAAATCAATGCTTTAACCACCTTATAAGATCCTGCATTGAAGAATATTCACTTCAAACTTCAAAGCCAAGCCAAAATACTTAAAAACAAGAATACTTCTTAGAAACCAAATAAGCATTTCCAGTAACTTTCCAGAATTTTGTTCCAAAGGTAACTATTTTTGGGATAAATCTACTTTTACAAGAAGCCAATCTCTCAATCAATTTTAAGAACCCAATAAACTGCTAAACACCTTCACTATAGCTCCCCTCATATTTATTATGCAATTTTTATGCAAAATTCAACATATGTTTTTTTGCTACCATTTATGAATATATCATCCAACAAAAATATATTGAAAAATGGGATAAGAAAGATACAATACAATACAAAAATTAAAAACAAAACAAAACAATATTCAATCCGCACATAAATAGAAGCATAACTTTGAGCTCAAAACATAAAATCTGACTTCAAAATAATTTTCTTCATAAACCTAACCAATTCAAATTGAACTATGCATTAATCATCTTATAATGTCATTTCTAACCCTTACAGGAGCATTGGCCTTCTTTAACAATCTGAAAAAAAAAAAAAAAAAAAAAAAAAAAAAAAAAAAAAAAAAAAAAAACACTTAACACATAATCATCTTATATAAGGTCAAGGCACAATATTATAATTCAATTTCTTCTAGCCTGTGCTCTACACTTTACTTGCTAGCATAGAAAAGTTCAATATATAATTAATTTGAGGATCCAAGGCCTGCAAACTGTTCTGAAGATAGTTAATGGCACTCTCGAACAGATATATTTGGAGGAAAAAGGAATTGGTTGGTTTTAGGTTTGGTTGGCCTAAGGGGCGACACAAGGGCCCCAAAAGAGAGGTTGGGGTCGCTAAAACCCCAACAAGTCGAGTCGTGCAAAGAAAGCACTCTGAAAACACCTTGATATTGATTGCGAGATCAATTGTGACGAAATTCATAGAGTTGACGCTTTGCTTTAGATGGCAAATTGAAAGACTAACCCCAATTTCGTAATACACTGTCAAAGACTAACCCCAATTTCATAATACACTGTCAAACTACCTTGAAGTTGTATCCTTATAGAAACCTAAGTAACTAAAAAAAACACCGAGTAATTTGGTAATCTCTCTCGATAATGATACGGTAATATATTCACATATAGCTTGCTTATCAACTAAATAAATCATACAAATATTTTGATGATAATAAGTAGTTATCATTTTCTTTACTTGATTCAAATGTTTTCAAGAGTTTGCTAAAATCATTATCCATTTACTTGCTATCTAATTAAATTGATCAAATCCCTAATTGATTTGGATATAACAATTCAAAAGAAAAAAAATTTGTAATGTAGCTTATGTTCAAAACTAGGGAATAAAGATCAGAATTTCAATCGCACAAAATTTATAGCACTAATACCCCAAACAAAGTTATATCAAAGCAATAATTTATAGGAGCTCAAGAAAATAAAAAACCATTATCAAAACTATAGAAAGAGTACACCAAACAAAAACACTACAATAGTCCCATAGTGATAATCAGAATTCATAAATAAAAAATAAATAAATAAATACAACAATCAAATTGTAATACTAAATTAACAATTCAAACTCATTATTAAAAAATTAAAAGGAAATATTCAACACAACTTAGTCACAAAAATCAAAATTCAACTTTATATCAATGTAAATATTTAAGGCAAATAACCTCACGAGATCCTAAGAAGAGTGTCCTGCTAGCATGTGAAAGAAGATCATAATTAACATAAAACGAATGGAGAATCAAACGAAAACAATAATAACTAAGCATTGCCGATCATACAGTAAATATAATATTAAAAAAAAAAACAAAAACAAAAATCAAGCAGTAGGTTCGAATGATCTCCTGACTGGAGTTTTCACTGGAGCTTTGTGTGTGTTTTTTTGGGAGCCAATTACCCCTTTCTTGATTTCAGGATGAGGAATCAATTTTAGTAGCAGGGATTGATTGATCATTGCTACAGAAGACTTGTGCAAATTAATAGAAAAAACCATGAACTTTTGTTTTGTTAAAGCCTGCTCTTGATTTCCATGTGTTTGTACATTCCGATGGCAAGTGCTTTGAGCCTTTGACAGTATTATTAACTAAAATCCTACCTAAGCCAACTTCAAATAACATCAATAATGGTGGCATGTATCTTCATATAAAAATAAAATTAAAAATAAAAAAAAAAAACCCTTAATTATTCCTCAGTAAAAATAGAATGAGAAAATCCTTAATTATTCCTCCTAGCAACTTACACTAGATATAATCATTTATTAGTAAAAATAGAATGAGAAAATTAAATATTCAAATACTCCAAATTTGAGAAATTTTAATCAGTAAACTAAATTAGTTGAGGAAATGCTACCTGTATGTGCTTGAGAATACAAAACCGGACAAATCAACAACCTCAAGTTCTCAGTCAAAGCATCTGTCCAGCCTTTCCATGATCTCCTTTCGGACCATCTTTATTGTCTCTGGATTCTAAAATCAACCAACCCATTTTAGAATTTAGACCCTCCCATCCACTGCAAATTACATCAAATCCGGAGATACACATTTAAAAAATGCAGAATGAAATTATGAAACATCCTATTTAATTGCTGAATGTTGAGTACTAATGCTCTAGAATAAAGAAAAAAAAGAAATTTAATAATGGTAATTGACCCCTAATTAAGCAGCCAGCATAGCCAGAGCCATCATATATAATTTGGAGTTGCAAAACAAATTTAAACTACTCTGTATAACCAGCATAGCCAGAGCAATCAGAAGACCTATGCAAATTAATAGAAAAAACCCATTAACTTTTGTTTTGTTAAAGCCTGCAAGTGCTTTGACAGTATTATTAATTGAAATTCTAGCTGACCCAACTTCAAATAACATCAATGATGGTGGTATATATCTTCATATAAAAATAAATTAAATTTTTTTTTAAAAAAAAAACCCTTAATTTGGCACTTTTAAGTATGAGCATAATTTAGAGATCGAAAAAGTTAATTATTACCTCAAGTCCTCAACCCACTAGAAGGGATTTTTAATTTTCGTAGGATTGAATGTGAAAATGCAAAAAATTACGAGGAAAAGGGGCATGGTTGCTGCTGCTGTGAGACTGGAGTGCGCTTAGAGAGAGGAAAACAAAAAGATCGATTAATACAAAAGGAGAGAGAAGAGAGAGAGAGGGTGAACGTACCTTGTCACGGAGTCACCTGAGCCTAAGGCGATAGGTTGAAAACCCTAACCTTGTTGAAGCTTCTTTTGGGAAGAAATACCTTGTCATGGAGTCACCTGAGCCTGAGGCGATAGGTTGAAAACCCTAACCTCGTTAAAGCTTCTTTTGGGAAGAAATTGATAGAAGTTGGGTTTTTTTTTTTTTGTCCGGTATATATATTTAAGCAGATTATATATATTAATTGTGCCCGCCACCTATTTTACTTTGGCAATTTGGCGGGCTAGTGAAAATGGTTTGGGAGGAAAACTTTTATTCCTTATTTACGGAAAAAAAAGGTGTCTTAAATGTGTTGCTTATTTACAGGAAAAAAAGGCGCCTTAGATGTAAAATTTATCTACGACCCCTTTAATACACCGTAAAAGAACTTGAGTGTGCCTATTCAAGCTTATTTACGGGAAAAAAAGGCCTTAAATGTGAAATTTTAGTGTCTTCATCAACGAGGAACATTTATCCAGTTAAAGGTGTACAAATATGCCGTAAATATATTTAAATATTCACGGGCTCTTTAATACGCCGTAAAAATATTTTTCTACGACGATTCTATAAAATCCTCGTGAAAGCATGTCCTAGTACGAGGATTCTTTTAAAAACTCTGTAAATAGTGGTAATCATGATGCAAAATAAAGAAGCCCCGTAAATACTATGTCGTAAAAGCCCACTTTTCTTGTAGTGCCACTTCCCTCTTTTCTTCTAACCTTAATCTATAACTTTACTAGAGAGAGAAATAAAAAATACAATGTAAAAATAAAAAGATAAAAAGTTTCTTTACAAAATGGGTCACTTCCCTTTATATAGAAGGTCATTTTCTTAGTCACTAAGTCAAGAATATAGCTCCAAAAATATCTAATCCCGTACTATGTGGTAGGTGGACTTTTGGGCGTGTACAGGAATAAGACAGCTCGCTGCTAGCAAAAGTTCGATCGATCCAACTTTGATTTTTGATCGATCCAACTTTGATGGATCTCACTTTCTGCGATCGATCTCATGATCGATCTCACTTGGCAGCTTTTCAGGATCAGTCTCTTTTTGCTCCAAATCAGCCTCCTTTTGCTCCGAATCCTCACCAAGACTTAGTTTGACTCCAAAAAGGCCTTAAGAAACCATTTTTAGCCCATTTTAACATTATTGACCTGAAATAGACAAAAACACAAATAAATACTAAAATAGAAATATAAGATAGATAGAGGTTCTAGAACACTCAAGCTTAAGGGGTTTAAAAGTGTACTTTTCAGCCCTCATCACTCTTCTAGCAAGAAGTGGGTTTGAACCGCTTAAAGCCGAGGTGCAATCCTTGATAGGTGGATTATTGAAGCTGAGTTTTACATGGCTGTGATTGAAAGTCACTTACCTAATCAATTCAGTATGCTTGGGATTATTGCTCAACAGAATTACAACATTGATTATGATCTAAGGAACATGAAACTCTATTTCCAGAGGATTGATTGTGAACTTCTTGAGGATTGATCACACCTCTTACAAACATATATTTGTACAGTAAAATTAGTGTGTTTAATGTTACAAACAACCTGTCGTACTTTTATTTTTCCTTAATCCCTTGTTAAGGGGCATTATGAGGTCCACATTAATTTGTGATTGCTTCAGTGTACTAATTTAAGTGTTATCTCTTGCCAATTCACCAAAAAAAGCTGCAAAATTCAAATTCCAAGTGAAGATTTAATTCAACTCTTAGTTTCATTTCTATAATGGTGCCAATCGCAAACATATATGTGTAATCATGTATAAGTTAATTTAGAACTATACATTGTGTAGGGCTCATAAAAATTAAAAGAATTAAGCTTGTGTCAAGTTTTATATTTTAAACTCACACACTTTAACAATAACGACGTTCTCATTTTACAATAAATTAAATAAATATAAATAATTTAAAAATTTATGTTAGTTTCACAATGAATGAGTCCCTCCCACCACACTGGAATTATTATTATTATTATTATTATGAATAATTCAACAGACTAAACTTCGTAAATTCAAGAACCAGACGATCAATAACACATCATATAATGAAATTCATGGTTTTGAAATCTTACAATGAAATGATTGAACCAGGCCCTCCCGATGAAGACTTGAAATATCAATCCACCGGAAGGAATTAGAAAGCCTTGACAATCGAAATGCCGAAGAGAATTCACGTATATCTATCTATGTCTATGATGATGAATCACGGAAAGCAGAGGGGATTGATATATACAGTAAGAGATGCAGACTAACCCTAAAAGCTCTGATGAGTGCATATATTATATATATACATATATATACAGATATAGAAGAGGGGATGTCGCGGGAACGCTTGGGACTTGGCCTTTTTTTCGCAAAGGAGATTTCACAAACCTTAGTTAATATCAAATCAATCAAGGGTTATTGTGACCCTGGCTATTGATTGCTTTTAAATACAGTGGCTATTTATTACTATTTTGAAAACTTTTAAATGATAAATATTTTAGCTCAATTAAACTTTTGAATTAATTGGGGAAAAAAAAAAAAAAACTTCTGAATTAATTTAAAAATACTTTTTAAGTAGAAGTACTATATTTAATTAATTATTTTTCCTTACACAATTTTGTTATTTTTTATTTTTTTATAAAGACAATTTTATTATTATTTTATAAAATACTAGTGTATTATATTATCTCCGTCCCATTTCTCGAAGACAACAATTATAGTGAGACAGAGGGCATAATAGTTTTATTCCTTTTTCTATAAGATATTTGGAAGTGGTTTAACTTTGTAATAAAAAATAGTGTTAATTATAATGACACCCCCTAAGGTTTGACATATTAACAGTCATATACAACTTAACTGTTTTTTGGACAAAGACACCCCCTGTGATAATTTTGATCCAACAATCCCTTAAAACATTAAAAAGACGAAATTGCCATTCAATATTTAATTCATTTTTATTGTAAAATATCAAAATTCGTGAAAAGTCAAAATTACCCTTATATATACATTATAAACATTATTACCCTTATATATATATATATATATATATATATATATATATATATATATATGGAAGAGCGGCTAAGAAAAGAGAGTACTAGTCGCCACCACCCTCATCGACGCCGCCCCCACTACGCTGCCACACCCAATTCCACACCCTCTGCCTGCCAACTCAAACCTCCCATCATCATCTTCAAGGTTTAATAGATACTCGACCATGGTGGTGATGAGTAGTGGTTCGGAGTGGTTGTAAGAGGAGGAGCAATCCGACGACATCAATGGTGTCATGGTGGAAGAGACCAAGAATCGACTACGTTTTCGGATCTGTCAGCAGCTTTGATGAGGGAGAGGTCGACACCGTATTTTATGGCATCAAGTGGTGGTGACTGTCAGAGGAAGGTTGAGTTGTCGTCGTCGTCAAATTGGCTAACTGCCGATTCTAAGTCCAGTGAGCCGATGTAACTTGTCGAATTTGGAGTTCTGGGTACCGAAGCGGTGACTGAGTCACCGGAGGAAGCAGTGTTAAAGTCGAGAGAGTCGAAGAGGATGTGGAATCACTATCCACGAGGCTGTACGAGAACAACGATGCTTTAATTTGAGAAAAAATTAGAGTGTGCCGTTGTCGATTGTGTGGGAATACAGATCCGAGTTGCTTACCACCTATTATAATAATGTGCCAGTGCAAAACTCTAGACACAATTGGTGGTTTGAAGATTCATTGGGGTGAGGTTTTTTTTTGTTTTTCTAAAGGTTGATTTGGTGTGGGTTTCTAGTAATGTTGATGGATATGGATATGATTTTGAAGCTTTGTATTGTGAAATTGGCATTAATGGCGGATACATTAAAAAAAATGTTCAACTTGATAATTTAACTTCTGAAATGAAATTGGCATTAATGGCGGATACATTAAAAAAATATACAACTTGACAATTTAACTACTAAAATGTTGTTATATGTGTGATTGTGTGTGTGTGTGTATATATATATATATATATATATATATATATATATATATATATATATATATTACTTTTTTGAAGAATTTTGGAGTTCTTTCATTCCTGTTTTATTGTAATTTTTTTTACGAACCCACCCAAGTTCTATAAAAAAATCAAATTTGAAAAGGATATCCCATTTAGTTTGCTAAAATTTATATTTTCTTTGCTGAATCAATTTTTTTCCCCTTTGGATGCACTTGAGTAATGATGGAGATCCATTATAATTTTCTCTCTCTATGTGTGCTTATATTATATTATATATATGTGTGTGTGTGTGTGTGTGTGTGTGTGTGTGTGTTTGTTGTGCTGATGAACTGTGATAATGGTGGTGGATATGGTGGTAAGGTGAAGACGGAGAGGAGGGAGAGAGAGTGAGGATTTTGGTTTTTTATGGGTATTTTGGTCAATAAAAAGATAATTGTATTGGATAAATTGGTAATTGAATGTCTCAAAGGGCAATAATGTCAATTCAGGACAATTGGGTGTCTTTGTTAAATGCTTCAAACTTAAGGGGGTGTTATCGTTCAAAAATGGCCTAACTTATATATAGCTGTCATTATGTCAAATCTCAGGGGGTGTAGTTGTAATTAACCCTAAAAAATATATGGTTGTTTAATGTACATTAGCATATTCCACTCTGTCATGTCATGAAAAAGTGTTATAGTATCTAAAGAAAAACACAATATTCGTTAATCTATGCTGCTCTTACACGTAAAAAAATATATATATATATGTAAGAAAAATTGGTCTTAAGACCATCTCCAATGTAAAATGTTATTTTTATATGTTAAAATTATATTTTGAGATGTGCTACAGTGTTAAAATGTCGTACCTTAGCAATTATTTTGCGATGGTTTATTTTCATCCAAAATATTATTTTTTAACACAACCACTATGCTTTTTCAACTACCATTTTTAGTTACCTCTTGCATCAGTAATGGCCATTAAGCATCAACAACACCACCACACAAAATAATAATAATAATAATAAATAAATAAAATAAAATAAATCCCAATTTACGGAGCATTAATTATAGTCTAAAAGGAGACGAATGTATATATATACATATATATATATATATATATATATATATGCAAGTGCATGTATATATATAGTTTTTTGTGTGGCGGTGATGGGGTGGTGACTGGTGGCTATGATGTGGTGGGAGGAGGTGGCGTGGACTGTGTTAGAG